CCCCTGTGTGCCTTGTGGCCACGGCAGGAAAGGAGACTTTGCGACAGATGGAATGTCGGCAGGCCAGCATACAGACCCTCAAGACATTGCTGATCATTGTTCGCGACGTTTTTCTCGTTCAAAGGCACCAGGAAAAGATTCGATTATGCGCAAGAATACCGTTGCTCACAAACCTACTGACGCCACCACAAAAAGCAGGTGAGAATCCTCTCAAATGTCGACCGTGGAGTGAGGCCGACTTCTTCCATCGCCTCCGCACCTTCACGCCGCAACGATGGTTTGGGAAAAGCCTGGCGCTGACCCCACCGCGTTGTGCCGCACAAGGATGGGTGAATGTTGACATGGACACGCTAGTCTGCGAGCTGTACGTTCCTCTTGAAGTGGAAGGAGGCCTCCACTGTTCGATTCCGCGAGCGTGGACGATGCCTCTGCATTTATATTCTGTGTACTTCTGGGAACTTCTTGTCGAATTCAATCTTCACTATTCGCCCTACACAGGTGCCAGGCGAGGCTCACGCACACCGACGGCCACGAGCCAGCCCCAGACCTTCTCTCCGCCTCCCATACCCTTACATGCCCCTGGCGCCAACAAGCTTGCGAGACGGAAGTGTCGCATTTTCCTCTCGTCACAGCTCAATCTCTGCTCTCTCATATTGCCGATAGGCTAGAGGGATGTCGGCGCTTGCTGCGGGCTTACCATGGGGTCTTCAGCATTTCAATCCCGGAAGAGCTCCAAACGCTTATCGACGGCGTCAAAATGAAAAAAGGCGCTTCGTCGCAATCAGCTCGCTTGACGCTCGACATATTGGCAGACCGTATGCAGGACTGGCTCCAGGACGTGGCCTCGGCGGCCCCAGGTGTGGGTGAGGTGGGAGGGGAGGACGAAAAACGGGGGGCGTTGACGCTGGCTTTGCTCGGATGGGAAGCCTTTCCTTTGTCGAAGGGCTCGCCAACGCAGTCTGAAGGGAATATAGGGCGACCGAGAGGGGACTGGGTGTTGAAATGTGGTCTATGTGGTCGCAGCATTCAAGCGAGTCGCATTGCAGACCGAAGGGGCAGCTTCGGGAGAGGGCGCGGATCGGAAGGTGAAGGGAAAGAGGAGCAGATACCACGCGTTAAAGCAAGAAGAGTGGAAAGCCCACTGGGGCCATTAACGTTTGACGCTGTCTCTCAGCACCGATGGTGGTGTCCTTGGGTATCAAGAGGCATGGATGAGAAGGGGATGCTGGGTTGGCGGCAGGCGTTGAAGGCGGTCGTGGGGCGGATGCGACAGGTAGAGGACCTCGGATTGTTGGGATTGAGCGAGCAAGAAGCCGATATGGGTAAACATAATGGTCTAGGTCTCGATGACTCTCTCAACTCGCCGTCCTACTCGTCGATGTACAGCAAAGTAAAGTGCCTGATGGACAGTATGTAATGACATAAGTGCTATATTAGATTACAAGAACACAAGCGACATTCCACAGTATCGATTCCCGAAGCAATAAACGTTTTTTTTCAAATGAAAGATTACACTAGGTCCTTGTTCTGAGAACCTCACCTGCGGCCACGGAGCGCCGAAGGCACGATGACGGAAAAATATATTCGCCAGCCAGGAATGAACCCCAAATAAATTTGAACTTCCTTGGAAATTCTTTTGACTTCACAAGGAACTTTGCCGACGGTGCTCGCGTGTGTAGCGGGTGTGCGCTTTCTCGAAATGTTAGATTGCTCTGCGAGTGGTTTTCACGGCCCACATTCGTACCCGGATGCTCGGACGTCGCATAAGCCTCAACTCGGAGGATTATGTACGTACCACCATCCCCACGCTTTTGTGTATACACGTCATGGCCATATTGCGGCACCATGTACGATGGATGAATTCTCTAAATGTCGAAGACAATGTACACCTTTAAAGGAAGGGCAAGGGCATTGTCCTTCAGCACACATGTCCGTGCTTGCTCCCTCTCTGCTTACTTCCCGCCACCCCCAACATCAACACGCAGAGGTCACGTCAAGATGACAATGACGCATCCTTAGACGTGAGCGGAAATTTTAAGGACAGTTGAGTCGAATGAGATGGTTTTAAGCCAGATTCTGACGCCTTTGCTGACGAAGGTTCTTGGGGACTACCTCAAGCCCGAGTGTTTCCAGGAGGATACACTTCGCGTAGGGCTGTGGCGGGGGCACGTTGAGCTTTTCAATGTTTACCTCAAAGAGGATGTACTGGACACACTTGGACTGCCATTGACGCTGCGCTTCGGTCGTATCGGTCACGTGGAGGTTCAGATTCCCTGGAATCAACTGGGGCGGAAGGCCGTGATAGTCAAGCTTGAGCAGGTGCACGTCTTAGTATATGCCAAATACCAGTGGGAGGACGAAGCGAATGAACGACGGCTCGAAGCAATCAAGCAGGCCCAGCTTCGAGTTGCCGAGGAGAAGGCTGAAGAAAGGTCGCGCGACTTGGGGCCTACGTCCAAGGAGGCAGCCGCGGCGTTGGCAGCCAGTGGGGCCGGCGCGGGGACAGGGACCCACTGGCTTTTGCATCGATTGCTGAATCGGGTGCTCGACCGCTTGCAGATTGAAATCAGGGATGTCCATATCCGTTTCGAAGACATGGTCTCCAGTCCCAATCTCCCCTATTGCTTGGGTTTGACGCTGGAGGACTTTCAAGTCACGCGGCAAGACTCGGCGCGGGTGGGACAGGCTTTGCGCCCTCTTTCTCGGAACTTCCTGCTGCATGGCAACACCAGCACCAACGCAAGGCAGCGGGGGATGGAGGGGGCGGGGGAGCGGGGGGCCTCGGAGGGAGTGTTGAAGGTGGCGCGGGTCGAGTGCCTGTCCCTCTATTGCAACCCTGTGAACAACGACGACCTGGTCTCGATGGCTCTGCACGAGCTGGAGAAAGACGAGGAGGTGGATGTGATGCTCGAGCAGCTCCTTCCAAGAGCGCCGTCAGGGCAGGTGCCTGGTGGTCGCGTGAAAGGGGGAAGCGCAGCAGAGGTAGGGCGGAAACGAGGCGGGGGCGGGGGCGAGGAGGAAGGGCAGAACGAGGAGCTCGACCGACGGCTACGCTTGGAGCAACAGGAGGAAGAGGATGCGCGGCGCTTGGGTGGCCATTGCTTCCTTCTCCACCCTGTCCGAAGCAGTTCCTATTTCTGGCTGGGCAGCATGGAGGCGGGCAGCTCGCAAATGACGCGCGTGATGCGCGGGCTGCTGGGCCTGGAGACAATCACGGTCACTTTGGAGGACCACCTGCTGCGCTCTCTGCTCTCTCTCTCGGCGGGCTTGGTCCGCTTCCAAACCATGAACCGCCTGGGCGTCCGGCGGCCGCGGAAGGGGGTGATGGAGGACCCTCGGGCCTGGTGGCGGTACGCCTACACGGTGGCGACCTGCAAACTGCACGAGCACCGGGGCAAGTATGACTGGGGCATGGTCTTGCGTCGCCGGCGGGACCGGCTGCGCTATATAAAGTACTGGAAGCGCTGGTGTAGGGTGGAGAGGCGGTTGAAGACGGAAGAGGAAGAGGAGGGAGAGGAGGAGGGAGAGGAGGAGGGAGGCGCGGAGGAAGTAGGGGAGAAGAGCGAGAGGGAAGACAAGGAGGGAGAGCAGTGGCAGGATGAACGGGAGTCGCTGAGCAGGAAGATCAAGGGATTGGAAGGCCGCTTGTCCTACGGCGACATTCTCCTGTATCGCAAGCTGGCTGAGGCTCAGCTGAAAGCAGACGGGGTCGAGCTCCAGTCTCCGCCCGTGCGGGGCCGGGCCCAGTGGTGGAAGCTCTTGCGAGCCGCGGACTCCGATTCCTTAGATCCTGCCGTGCTGAGCGTGCCCGTGTATGCGGCAATGGTCGTTCAAGTAGAGGCGACCCTGCAGCAGGGAGAGGTGCGCTTGGCATCGCGTGGAACCGGCGGTGGCTGTGAGGAGGCCGGCATGGGATCTTCGGTGGAGGGAGGGCAAGGTAGAAGAAGGGATGATTTTTTGCGGGTGGTGATCAAAGACCTCGTCCTTCGGGCAAGGGGCGACAGCGTGAAAGGACTGCAATGGTCGGACGCGTCCCTGGACGACGCGCGGATCGAGAGCCTGGCCTCTCCCTCGCCCGCCCACGCCGACATGCCCCCTGGCGCCCCTCCTCGCGCCAGTCCGGGCCAAGGGGCAGGCTACGAGGAGGATGCTGCCAGCCTCCTCGGATACGCAGGGAGCGACCGGGTCCAAGAGGGCGGGAACGCTTGGTGCCGCCTGGTTTCGCGCCGGATTCGGCCCTTGGGACCCTCCCACGCCTCGCATTTTTCCCCTCCCAAACCCCTCTTTCGCATGAGCTACACCCTCCTACCCACGGGCTCCCCTTTCCTCGCCGACATCCGTCTGACGGTCGAGGAAATCGAGGCGATCCTGGTGCCCACTGCTCCCTGGCTGCAGTCCATCCATTGCTTTTTCGATCTGCCCGACACGGCTGACTCATGGGTGGACCTGGAGATGGTGGCGCTTTCCAACCTTACGGGCCTGCGGGAGCAGCTCGATGCGAAGCTCGAGTACCTGGTGCACACCCGTCCCGAAGTTCGGATGCGTCTGCAGGTCAAAGGGCCGCTTTTGATGGTGTTGCCGCCAGCGGACGAGCCCCTCGCTCCCGCCGTGCACCTCGAGCTGGACTCGGTGTCTCTCACGAGCAAGGACAGGACCGGAGGCGTTGAGGCTGGGAGCGGCCTAGGGGGAGGCGCGGGCATTTGGTCGGTGCAGCAGGGGAGAAAGGATCCAGGCGAAGCCGGCAACGAGAATGAGACAGGCAAAGGAGGCGGGCTAGAGCCGGGAGGAGGCGTGGGGTCCCCCCCCCACCCCCTAAACCTCCTCCGACTGGGCGCTTCATGGCAGTCGGTGAGAGGGCTATCGGACGGAAGGGACCTGAGTCTGTGTTCTCAGGCCGCTGAAGACGTTGGAGGGGAGGAGCATGAGGAGAAGGGCCTGGTTTCGGGCATGCGCTGGCGCTGCCCTTCCAAACCTTTTGATAGCGTGCTGCCACCCAGCTTTCGGAGGGAGCAAAGCTACTGCCCGGGCTCCTCACTCGGGAGCGTGGAGACGACCGAGAGCACGTCTCGGAGGGACTACGACAGGCTGTATGACCGGTTGGATGTGAGCGTCCTGGGCGTGCGTCTGGGTTTGATGCCTGCGCGGGGCCTCCGGGTCGCCCCCTTGCTGGACCCCCTGGCTGTCATGGCCTCCGTGGCGCTTTCTCGTCTACCCTCCGACCCTCAGATGCCGAGGCTGCAGGTGACGGTTAGCACGGGCGAGATCAATCTCAAGCTATCGAGCGAAATGCTCAAGCAGGTGACCAGGCTGGGAGTCGCTTGCCTGCGCACGTCGCAGAAGACCAACCAGGACTTCGAGCAACTGCGACAGCGCTTTGAATTGATGGCGCGAAAAGGGACGTCCATGACGCGCCTGAGCTCATACCTAAATTTTTCGGCAGAGGGCATGTTCGGAGGGAGGGAGGAGGAAGACATATTACCAGTGCGCCTGAGCGCGGATGGGTTCGGGGATTTGACGGAGGATGGGACTGCCGAGAGGGGTTCCTCCTCCCTCTTTCCCGCCGGCTCGGAGCGGGCCGACGTGTCCCCTCTGCCCAATTTCTACGACGCGCGCTCTGTCGCGTCCTTGGGAAGTTCCACCTCCTCGCGAAGGCCTCCCTCAATTGCGCGAGTCCCAGCATCGAATGAGCGGGACCAAGAGGATCACGACAGAGGGGGGATAGCAGAGGACGGTGAGGAAAGCGGGGGCGTATCGACGGGCCCTAGGAAGACAGCCTGGCGTGGTCCTGAGAGCAGCGCGGGGAAGAGCAGTGCTCACCATCCCACGGAAGAAAACGGTGGAAATAGAGGCGAAGAGGGGTATCATGAAGAAAGTGAGGACGGGCGGGAAGTGGGGGAGGAGGTAGAGGAGGAGGAAGAATTTTTTGACACGCAGGAAGGTTATCGATCGGACGACGAAGCCTTCCGACACGCATTCGGTTCCAACGCTTTGACATTTCTGCACGAAAACGAAAGCGGGGGGAGGTCGATGGTCCACCTCTTGGATGACAGGACCGGGCAATGCCCGCCCAAATCGCCAGAGCGTGCGTCCTCGAGTGTTTACAAGGTGGTCAAGGAGGCTATGCAACAGCAGCAGTCTTACGAACAAGGGGAGCAGCCTACAGCTTACACGTATAAGAATTGGCGAATTCTCCGCGCCGAGTTCTCGCTGCCTCGGCTCCAGGTGAGCCTTTGGGCCCCAGGCTCTTCCTTTGAGGTCTCCGAGGCGGAAACGTTTCAAGAGATAGAAGAACGATGCCTGATGACAGTCTGGGCGGTGGGATTTAGCGTGCGCTACACGGCCGAGTCATTTTTGCATCGATTGCGGGTGCGGTTGGAAGATTTGACTGTCTCCTGTCGAGGGGCGCCTCCAGAGATGCCTTTGTTCAGGCTGGGAATCCCCTTGCCCCTCCCCACCTTCCTGCCTGACTTGACCACCGGCACAAAACATGGCAGCCGGAACAGCATGTCACATCAGCAAGTGCCTAATCGGCAATATCATCCCTACTCAGCCGTTCGATCCACAAGCACGCTGCTCTCTTTCTCGCCTACCGAGTCAACCTTCCCATCCCCAGCCGTCCATTCCACCTTCACCGGCACCTCTCACCTCGAGCCTCCGTTTCCCGCTGATTTCGATCCACCCAAGACAGACGGAGAACCGTTCCGACTCCTCTTTCAGCTGGTTCGAGACCCAGACTCGGCTGTCACCGGCCGGCTTTTTCGCAGCCTTCAAGGGAGCCTCCACATCGCCGCCCTTGCCTCTCACTTGGACCAAGAGACGGTGGCTGACGTTTTGCGCGCGCTTGCCCCACTGAAGACGTTGATGGCTTTGTCGGGAGACAGCGATGCCAATAACGGTTCGACAACCAGTGTGAACGGCGCAGCGAAAGCTTTTCGACAGGCCACATCCGCGGCCTCCGACTTTTCGTCGTCAGATAAGGCAGGGACTCCCTCAAGCTCCTCTCTCAATGCCTTTCCCTCCTCTTCACCCTCTGCTCAGAACGTCTCTCCTCCCTCTACTTGTGGCGCCGAGAGTGGGCAAAGCAACGCCCTGCCCCTCTCCGAGACACGAGAACAGGCCCCGCATATCCACTTGACCCTCAAGGCGCACGGAGCGCGGCTGGCCCTTGTGCGCGGGCCTCAGGTAGATCTTCTCCTTGCCATTGGTCCCACGACTTTCGACATAAAGCCCGAGGCCGGTGGCGCTGTTTTGGCATGCTCCCTCGGTGTCATGGAACTGGAGCTTCAGGCGATGGAGAGGGAGACGAGATACCCGCATCGCATTCTCAGCCATCCGCCACACGCAATGAACCCGTTGTAGCTGTGACAGCAGCTGTATCCACCTCCCTCGTGCTTCCTCCCCTTCGCCCGTACTTGGCTCAAACGGTCGCAAAAGAGCAGCGCTTCCTCAACGTGGACACGCAAGTGCGAGGGTTGAGCGCCTTTTTCCCGGCGAAATCAATGATCCTTCTCGGTCAAGACGTTTTGAAGGGGCCCGTCATTCCCTACCTGGCAGGCAACACGGACAGGACGGGTACATGTAGTCGAAAGGCTGATGGGGCTACTCCCTTTGTCCCATCTTCACCCTCCTCGTCGAGAGAATCAGGGAGAGAACCCGATCAGTCCATCTCGGAGGCCGTCAGCCAGGATGGAGCACTCAGTCGCTATACTCTCGAAAAATCCGACGTAACGGCGAATTTAACTTTGGTACAAAGCTCAGTATGGTTGCCATTGCAAGACGGAGAATATGGAGCGTGGCAAGATGCTTTGGTTTTAAAGGTAGAGGAGTTCCTTGGCTCTTACCACACGGCTCCTGGCGACGTCGCAAGTACGATCGGGGTGGCAAATGTAAGTTCTGAAAGCGATGAATGTTCTCTGGTTGTCAAGGGAGCTAGGTTGGAGCAAAGCGGAGAGGAAGGCACAACATCTATTCTTGCTCTCGAAGCAGCAGATGCTTGTATGAGACAAAAACCACAGAATGTTTATCTCGAGCTGAAGCTAGGACAGCTTTCGGGTAGGATAGAGGCAGCATCTGTCCTCTTCCTCCTGGCACTCCAAGGGCACATGCAGGACGTTTTCGACAGGGAATGGTGTGCATTACTGACGTCCCCGCATGCGTTTGTCATCTTTGGCCGACCAAGTCCTCCATCGTTACCGCATTCAAGGACCCCTCCGGAGTTGGTCACTGCCAGCGTCCCCCCTTCCTTTTCTCCTGCCTCCTTATCGACCGGCTCTCCCCCCGTGTCTTGGACGGCTTCAGAATTTAACCTCGGCGTGAAAAGATCATTGTCGGCAAGCCTGCACAGCGATGGGTTGCATGTCACCTTCCACGTGGGCATCCACAGCATTGAGACGACTCGTAGCATGAGCGGTCGACAGAGCCCTTTGGTTCTTTCGGGCGCTTCTGCAAGATCTCAACATGCTGCCCTAATTCTCGTTGTGGAGGAACTGCGTGGGCAACTGGTATTCCAAGGAAGCGGATGTGTGGAAGGATCGACAGTCGAAGCTGCAATAGGACAAGTCATGTTATTGCACGAAAAAGATCAACGGGGGGCGGAGACGTTCGCGGAGCTTGTTGGCCTTGCAAAGAGTGTAAGTAGGCAAGACCGGGACGCTTGGGAAGCGATAAGGCTGAGCAGTAGCACCACTGGACCCAGTCGTTTGTTTCCAGAGGCGGCATTGGGAGAAGCTCTATTACCTCACGTGTGGGTGCGCGGTGGAGTGAAAGGGGACGAACAAGTGGCTGCAGAGATGGGCCTGTATTTGCATCCTACCGACTGGACGTTGTCTCTACCAGGGCTGGAGGTTGTTCATTCGGTAGCATCGATTTTTACGCAGGCTTTGGGGGTACAAGCCGCTAAGCAGGAGGATGATTTAGTGGGGTCGGAGCCTATCATGGACCCGTTACCTCACCTGAGATCGTCGCAGAGTTGCAGTGGGGACGGGAGAGATAGCTCGGCGGAAGGATTTTTCGCCTGGCTGCAATCTTTGAATGAGGGTAGATTGGAGGAGAATGATGAGGTTATCCAGCTCAAACTTCGGCAATTGTTGGGTGATATGATCTGCAAATGGCCCGTCCTAATTGCGAGCGTGCACATGGAGATGGCGATCGGCACACAGCAGGTTACAGTGGTGGAATCCTCTTCTTCCTCTTCCTCCTCAGTTCCTACCTCCTCGCTCTTCCCTTCAGGCAGAGAGGGGATGACCCAGACCGAGGCGTTGGTGTTCCAAGCAAGTATGGGAATGGGCGCGAGTATCATACCCACTTATTCAGAGGGGGATACGGCGGGTCGAGGTCAAGTTGTCAAGCACGTTGCCGGCCACGTCACTGCCGCAGGGCGAGGGTGGCAATTGATGACAAAGCGTATCAGCGCCCCGTCTCCATCTGCTCATTTCTCCTCCTGGGCTAGCCTGTCGTCCCGGCCGTCGCGCGGCTGCAGCGTACTCGTCCGAGATGAAAGCGGGGATTTGCACAGGATGCCAAGCTATGTAGAGGCGGAACAATGCCTCCTCTCACCGTTTGAATGGGAGTTGAGCGCCGATTGCAGTCTTGATTTGTCGCTCACCAGCCCCGAGCCTGTGATCGCCGCGGGTGTATCATTCTGCGTCGATCCATTAGAGGCGTGGACATTCTTGGATATACGTGATATGCAGCATCTCATCTCCTCAACACTAGTCCCGGTCATGGCTCTTTTCAATCCGCCATCACCATCGGTCGGAGAGAAGACGGGCGACTTCGCATTTGACTCGAAATTTCAACTCCATCTGGTAGAGAAACTGCCCATAGCTGATGATAATGGAGACTCAAGGTCAGTGGCTTGGACTGGAGTCCCACCGTCGCTTAAGCTTCTGGATTACGCGAAAATACGGGTCGCCGTCTCTGTTCAATCAGCCCGCATGACTGTTATCAATAACCTCAGCCGGTCAGCTATACCTCTTATGAATGTGACCCTCGATGGCCCATTGTCTTTGGACATGGGTGCAACAGATGGCGTAGTCGAAGCCACACTTCGAGTAGGCATGCGCGCTAAATACTTCAATCGGCGTCTCGTCATATGGGAGCCCCTTCTCGAACCGTGGACCGTGCAGGCGAGCGTCATGACAGGATACATACCTGCCTCCTTGGATGCATCCTGTGTCATCGCCGACATGCCCAACAGGCCATTGCTGGGCCCAGCAGCCACAGCCCCACACGCCAGCCCGAACCATGGTCTGCGGAAGATGCACAGCTTCGGCTCACCCCGTCGGATTGTGAGCAGTCTTCGGGAGAAGGCTCCAGATTTCCTGTCGCACTCGCAAAGGAACCGAAAGCGCTATTTTGCATCGTTTCGCGCCACGTCCACACAGGTCGCGAACTTCAACATTACAGAGCCTTTCTTAGAGAACGTGATAAATGCTAACATCGGGCTTGCCAAGGCCGATGCACGGCGCCAAATTCTTGCGAGGAAAGATTCGGAGGCGAAGGCCCACTCCTCTGAAGTGCGCAGTGTGAGAACATCTGACGTTGGCAGCAAAGGGCTAGGAGAAGGGCCTGGCGAGGGTGCAGCTCTGCACTTCAATTTTGTGAGGAATGATACGGGCGTCTTGCTCCGTTATCACGCAAGCTCGATCCACGTCTGGCACGAGGTCTCTCCCGGGAAAGAAGAGCCATTGCTTCTTCCTCCGCATAGAGGAGGTCTAAGTGGTAGTGACGGCCTCCAGTTGGAGTTGCAGCGGGCGGGTCAGCACGCATGGTCTGCTTTGGCACATGTAGACGCGGATATGGAAGGTGTTCGCGAGTATTCCATTCCCACCCTTGATGGGGCCTTGAGGATCGTTTGCGAGGTTTCCCGTGTCGGAGGAGTGAAACTCTTGCGTATTCGCTCTACAGAGCTCTTCGAAAATAAGTGCTCCTTTCCATTGCACGTGGCGCTAAAAGCTGGGTACGGTGTTGTTCAGTGGGAGAGCAAGCTTACCCCAGGATCGCAGGTACCGTTGCCTATCTACTTAGCCGATCTTGAAGAGTCATCCCTTTTACTTTCAGTGGTGCACGAGACGGAGCAAGGAAAGGTCAGTGAGGAACCGCGGCTCATCTTGGAAGTCCCTATGCCTTTGCGTACAGCCGACATCGATGCTAACGAAAGCAATTCAGGGGGAGAATCAGCTCCCAGTCTCCCTAGTGCCATCCTCAATTTGGCCGACAACCATGCCGCAGCCCCACTAAACATTGTGATGGGCCCCTCTCATAATCAAAACCTCGTTGACGCTAGCAATAGTGACAACGAAATGCATCTGCCAGGTGCACATTTGAGCAGAAGTTGCGGACCATCAAGGACCATCCGCTTTTCACCTCCTTTCTTGGTACGAAATGCCCTGCCAGTTCCTATGGAGATACTTCTTCGCGTGCAAGAAGAGCCTAAGCAGGGAATAAATAAAGTCTGGATATCAAGGCTATCGAAAGAGGATTTAAACGATTCCAACGATATGTCGCTATCCAAGAGATTCGCTGCGTTGGAGATCCTCCGACTTCGTCCGGGAGAAAGCTGTTCTTGGTACGGCGCTTCAGGAGAGCGGAACGTGCTTTTGTGGCTGCGACTTCCCGGTTTCAACTGGAGCAAAGCGAAAGTCATACCTTCCTCCTCAGCAATGCAAAATGCGAATATGCACGTGAACGCATTGGAGGTGGAATTAGAGGACGAGCAGTCTTCGCAGGTGTTGGACGTATCAGTCGAAGTAACGCTTCATGAATTGATCGCGCAGCAGCTAGTTATCTACGTACCTTATTGGATTGTAAATATCACGGATTTGCCCTTAGAATATGCACACGATGTGTGGGACTTTTCCTCTGACAGAGCTAGGCTGGGTATGCAAGAAGGACTGTTGGCCGGTCAGACAGCGAAAAAAGTGGAGAGTGGATCGAGCTCCTGGCATGGCATCAGAGTCCCCAAGGAAATCCCACCCTATTCCATAGGGCGCAAGCATCATCAGAAGCACGGACCGCACGGGCTGGGCCTACGAGCTTTGCTGCCTCCTCCAACCTCAGAGGCGGAGAGATTATTGGCGAGAGCCAAGGGTCAGATAGTAATGGCGGGTTATACATCCACCGCTTCCTCTCCAGGAATGACCCGCTTGAGCATGCGCCTTCATGAAGAAAAGAGTCGTCTTCCTGGTGCTTGGAGCCGTGGGTTTGCTTTGCCGCCCGCCACTGAAGGTTTGATTGGTTTTTTTGAATTGAGGACGCAGCCACGTCCGGCAGGGTGGGCATCACGCCTTGGACCCTTCCACCGTGGACGGAGAAGTGCCGGTCGGGATGCGGTCGTGACTGGCGGCAATGGCAGTAGTCAGGCAGCGCGCAGAGGAGGACAGCAAGCGGCCGTCCCGGCTCTGTCGTGGGGATTCGGTCTGAGTGTCTCGCAACACGCAGCTGGAGGTGCCTTTCACCGCACCCGCGTCGTTACGGTTGCGCCCAAGTTTTTGCTCATAAATTCTTTCGGTCGTGCATTAGAGGTCAAACAGAACGGGACTATCGAAGACTCCAGCGTACCGGCGGTCAATCTCCCCTGCAACGGGACGCAACCAGTGCCTTTCTATTGGACCGTACGCACCGGATCGCGGTACCTGAGGGTGAGACTGTGCGAATTCGGATGGGAATGGAGCGGGCGCTTTGTCCCAGATGTTCCTGGTGATGTGACGCTGGCATTGCGCCATGTGCATGTTGAGGCAAAATGCCTGCTACAGGTGCGCATAACATTAGAGGACGCTTCCTACGTAATTCGTTTCCGACGGGAGCCTCCCAGCTTCGCACCGTACCGGATTGAAAACCGGACTTTAGGGAGCGTGTGGTTCGTTCAAGCGGGCTTGGGTAACGGTGGAATGGACAGCGAGCGCGAGCCCGAGGTCTTACTGCCCTACCACGCCTGCACATTTTCCTGGGATGAGCCGTTGCTGGACCACAGTCTAGAGCTGGAGTGGCAGGCGGGGGAGGGCGGTTTACGGCGTGAGTATCTCGGCTCCTTTTCATTCAATCCTGACATTCCGATCCGCCCTCCAGCGAAGGGGATCTCGGTCATGGTGGAGACACGCGGTCCTATCCGCGTCATGATCCTGACAGCCTTTCCTCTCAGAAGTTCTTCTTCCTTGCCTCCTCCAGCTTTTGGCCCTCGTGAGATAGACAGAATGCCAGGACGAGGAACGGAGGGGGACGGGAGACTTACTTCTCACACGGCAGATTTGAGTGTGTATTCGTGGGTGGTGGATTTAGAAGTGGATTTAAGAGGTTTAGGAATCTCCTTGCTTAACGGGCTTCCACAAGAGCTATTGTACGTGTCTGCGCAGGACTTGACAGGGAGGTGGGACATGCGCTGGCCCTGCAGTCGCTTGCGCCTTATGGTCGGCCACCTGCAGGTGGATGACCAAATGGTAAACACCTCTTGCCCTGTGGTCTTTGTGGGAGAGGAGAGCAAGAAAAAGAGCGGCGTCGTTGAGGGCTCCCTAGAAGCCTGTGGGGGGCGGAAGATTTTCGGAGGAGATGGCCTCCAGCGTGCAAATGCCTTAATTTACCCGTCAACTGAGGCTGGGGTGGTGGCAAGAGGTGCTTGGACGAATGCTGATGATGCCCGGGTTCTGGTTCGAAAAGGACAACGTCAGAGCCCACAGGGGATGCACCACTGGCCGGTTGCATTACCCCATTTAGACATCACTGTCGAGCAGGATCTGATGTACGAGCGCATTCTTTTCTTCCAAGCTATGAGCGTAAAAATGACGCCTTATCATGTGCGTCTAGATGGTAACCTTGTCGCAGCTTTATTGAACCTCTTTTCGCGTGTGTTAACATCTGTACCTGAAGACATGAAGGAGATTTTGAGCGCAAAAGGCCACGTGAGCTATGTCCGCCCCGCCTTCAATTATGATTCAGGGCTGATGGAAAAAGCGTCTGCTGCCATTTCACCTTCCACAATTCTATCACCCGTGGAGCATATTTTGCGAGACACGGTGCTGCGGGGGCCTTACTCTCAAGAAAAAGAAAGCACAAGCCCTGAGGTTGCTGAAGTGGCGCTGCATCGGCGGTGGGACAGCAATGGAGGCGTGGAACGTGGAATTGAATCACAACAAATCTGCAGAACAGAATCAGGCAGGCCCCTCGTCATTGAAGAGGATGCTTACAAGGTATTTGTGGACTACTTGGCCGTGGATCCTGTGCGCATCCAAGTCTCCTTCACCGCCTCCTCGATGGTCTCACGTGTTCTTTCTCACCTGGTTGCGAGCGGTCCGAGTGGGGAGCGTTTCCGAGCGATGAAGCTGCTGCTCGATGTAGTGGGATCAGCCCTCTCAAAAGTAGACAATGCCCCTATCCGTTTCTCCCCTCTGGTCATCCGCCACGCTTTCAGCGCGGACCTTGTCAAGAAAGGGGTAGCCCACTACGCAAGTCAAGCGCTTCGACAAGCTTATATTCTTCTGGGCACATTAGATGTCCTGGGAAACCCTGCCAAAATCCTCGCCAACATCTCGGCAGGCTTACGAGATTTTATCTATGAGCCTGCCAAGGGCCTAGGCCAGGGGAACCTGTGGCAGTTCTCAATGGGACTTTACCGAGGCAGTGCCAGTTTAGCAGTCCGTGTTGTTTTGTCGTTACTGGATGGTATTCAAAGTTTGGCCTCCTCGTTGCATGCGGGTATCCTGCCTTTGGCGGGGCTTATTGAAGACGACTCTCTTCTCAATGCGCGTCGTGTTCCACCCCCCCTGTCCCGTACCATCTCTCCCATCTCCACCGGCATGTCAACATCGTCCATCGAGATCCCGCATCGCATGGAGGGCTCCGTGGGTGGTTTGCTGAGAGGTTTAGGGGCCTTGGTGTATGAGCCAATTCGTGGAGCAAGACGGGGAGGCGTCCGCGGCTTACGGGCGGGCATAGCGCGTGGAATCGTCAGCGTGGTCTTACGACCGACGCGCGGGTTCCTGGAAGATGTGGTGGGTGTGTGTCGGACAGGACGCATGTATTTACAGCCCCATATTGCGCGTTTGGATGGGCAATCGCGGGTCAGGGCGCCGCGCTTGTTCAAGACCCGGGACGCCCCCTTGACGTTGTACTCGCCAGAGCTTAGTATGGCGCAGGACATGCTGCGGCGAGTTGAGCAGGGATCACATTGGAACGAGGGGTTAATATATTATCGTTTTTTTCCTGGGATGACACGTTGTATATTACTCACAGCCAAGCACCTCCTCGTGGTGTGTGTAGCCAGTCCCGGCAGCCCAGGGACCTATACCTTGGAATGGGACTTGTCGTTGGCGAGCCTAGTACAGGTCGACACCCTCCCGCCCTCGGACGTGCTCCTCCACGTTATTTCCTCGTCCGCCGAGGGGTACCACCCTGATCATAGAAGTAGTCTCCAGCAGCCTCCGCAGGGCCTCGCCCTACCTTCTGTCCCCCGGAGCCCGTCCACTGACGCTCTTGGGACGAGCCCAGAGAGCACGGATGTGGCCTCTTCTCTACCTTCTTCGGGGCCGGGGACCGGACCAGTGAGAAGGAACAGCAGCCTTGGCGGTGGAAGCACTGGGATTTTGCAGCACCTGGGAACCTGGATGCGTCACTCTTTTTCCTCGCAACGTCCAGATTTAGGACTGCACACCAAAGAGCAACTTCTGGAGCTGCCGGATAAGGAGGCTGTCCAAGGTTTGATCCAGGGCTTGCGGGCCTTGGGAGGGTACCCCCATGCCAATTACCACATTAGAGTTTTGCCTTACTTTAATGACAGCGATGCGCAGTCGTTGCTCGACTCGTAAGGTATTCAATGTACATTGTAGCAGGTTTGTACACATAACGAGATAATATGCCAGCAAAAGTAGCCAATAAAGCTCAAAAGCATTAAAGTATAATTTGTGATCGGGTAATCAAGTGCTACACGTGATTTGCACAGACTTCTGAGATCTGTATGATTTTTGCATTTCTAGCCGCAAAAGGTCGACTTCAATTGCTGTTATATTTAATTTTTCTTCCCCTGGCCTTTTTCAATGACATACCGAAAAGGTCTCCCGGGGTCTCCTCGTTCTGGCGTGCCGTTACACCCTCCTCTTCCTTCCCTTGTAGGTCGCCCACGTCAAGTTGGAGACATTTGCATCTATTTGTGACAGACAAGTGCAACAGGTCGCGCAGTTCAACAAATAAGGTTGTCCACCTCGTCCAGGAAAGCTAAAATCGTCAAGGTAATCACTTCCTCATGGCCCCGTCCCGAGTGCCTGGCGCCCACCACCGTGGCCGCCCGCGGTAGCGGACAGGCCCCCGCGCAGGCCTTCACAAATCTCTCCCCCAACGTCTGCACGTTGACTCCCAAGGGCACGTATTCATCGGCGCCTGACAGGAGGAACAGAGTGGGTATGTCAAGGTGGCCTAGCCGGTCACGGAGCTCGCCGTCACTCAGGTCGCTCGAAAAAAAATCGTCGAGCCCCTCTTTCGTCGCCAAGTCCAGAAATCGATCGGCTGTGATAGGTGCCCACATCGCAGCGCGGGGCAACATCTCTTCTCCTTTCCCTTGCGCGCGCATCTCGCGCGCTAATTGAACAAATTTGGACGTGGTTTCCTGCAGACAAAGGTGCTCCCGGTCGCTTACAGGGGCCTGGAGCACGATGAAGGCCGGCTTCTTGGAAGGATCCCCGCACGTCTTGACGTAGTACACGCTGTCCTGAGTCCCGGTTGAGTGGCCCACTAGACCCACAGCCAGTGAACCCATCTCCTCCTGAAGAAAGGTGACCAGACGCCCTAGCTCGACCGCATCGGTCTTGAGGGAGGTGTGGCCAAAGCCCGTGTAGGATGAGGAAAGCAGGACCTGCACCAGCGCCCAACCTCGAGCATCGAGCGCTGCCCCCAAGCTTTGAGTGTAAGGGACTGGGAGGAGCCCGTCCTAGGGATATCGAGGCCAGTAGAGCGGAAGGGAGAGGAATGGGAGAGTTTCATCAACTTGTCCTCTTGCTGTATTCATGCGTCCGCATGCTTCCTAAGTAGATACTCTGCAAGTCATGGGAGCGGTGAGTTCCACTGCTCGAACCTGACAAAGCAGTTGGTAGTGGTAGGCATGGGACCTTGTATCTTTTCACATCATCTCCCCGCATTTAGGCAGTCAAAAAGGAAATGACGCTCTCAGAAAACAGAAAATGCATGCACTTGAATTACTGTCACATTATACATTCATCTAGTTGACAAGTCATACTCAGCGGCCCCTCCTTTCTTACCCCTAGTCCGCCTATGAGCACGACATGTCGCCTATGCGCCTTGTTCCCGGAGCAAAACGCGACCCGATTCACGAATTCATCGCGATAGTAGGTAAATAGCCTGCCATCCATCGACGGCCAGCTTGACGACGCTTGTGATGAAGCCGCAGCTCCTACTCCGCCTCCCCCACTTGCAACTGTGGAGGTCGAGTACATTAGAGGAGGAAGGGAGGAGGAGAGGAGAGATGAAGGCGGGGATCGAAATGCAGCTCCCGCGCTACAGAAGAAGAGCGGCCCGGTAAGGAAGCGTTGAAAGGCCTTAATGATTCCCTGTCCGGGTGCAGGATGGAAACGTTTGAGATATAGCAACTCGTCGACTGAGGCTGAGGCGCGGCGGCCCCGCCGTCGGAGAAAGGAGCGCGCCGTCGGAGAAGTGGGTCAAGACATAGCATACCCCTTACCAAGGGCGTGCAAAACACAGGCCAGACGCTCGCCATGTAGCATGCGTTCAATGAAAAATGACACAAAACTCTCCAGCTTTGCTCTTTCTTTTCCTTTCGTTCTTCGTCACTGTCATTGCTTACGTCAATTTTTTCCTCAAACGTACAAGCAGTCCAAACAGGTCTTCATTTCGTAGACTTCCGTGTCCTCTGCTTTCAAGTCTTTTTTCTTGCCTATGTCCGTTTATACTTGTTGTGTCATCTCTCATGTACAGCCCATGTTTGGCATTGTTTCGTCTACCTTTTCTATCGACAGCCACACACCCGTGTGACGTGTTGGCGGGGGCGATACGACTGGTATGTTTTCACACATAACCGAATCAGAGCATGCACACACGAATGCTTTCACCCAATCGTAAAGAAAATGATACAATAGCATCAGTTTACGGCACCCTGCCGATCTGCGCCTGTACCCAATCCTACCAGATTTTACTTCTTCCAGATATTGTCCTTGAGGTAAGCCTCGAACAGAGCCAGTGACTCCACAGGCTTGTAGGCTGGGACCTGTTTCAGGAAACCAAAAACAATGAGGAGGATGCATGAGGCGTGCGCTATCACACACAAACGAATACAGACACAGCGTGCTTCGTACCTCGTGTCCAGCACCCATGACAGTGGCAATGGTGACTCCGTTCTGATAGCCCTGCAGGAAGCCCGCAACCTGCCCATCCACGCCCCAAGACGTCCAATCCTGGTTACTCTCTATAGGCCATTTCATATTTTGTACCCAGAAAAGGGTCCCTTGCGTCGCGCAGACGGAATCGTCTGCGCCCGAAAAAATGAGGATGCGAAGGCCCAAATCCCTCTTCGTCAGGTAGGTGTATGTATCCTGGACGAAAGCCAGCCGGTCGTTCCGGTTGAAATTATAGCTGACTGTGGTCGAGCAATCCGCCCACCGCGTGCCCTCCTTGGCGTGGATCGCTTTCTGTACATCCTTGCGGTTCAAGTAGGCTGTGGAAAACGCGTCCTGGCAAGGTTCATACTGGGGGGTGGCCCCGTTGCGACTCATCGATTCCCTTTCCAAACCTGCCGGCCCGCCAATAAAGGCCGGCATCGTCAGACTCAAAAGGTGGTACCTCTGGTTGCGGCCCTGCGCCAAAATAGTCTCCTTCGAGGGAGGGAAGGGGGCTCCTCGCTGCCCGGGACTCGAGAAGCCGGAAGTCGCGTCCGTGCACACCGGGTAGTCGAGTGCGTACGGATTAAGGCCTTGGACGAAGAACCACATCTGGCTCTGCAGTTGCATGCACCTGTCCCCGAAAAGCACCTCCGGATTGTTGCTTTGGCTTCGGCAGCGGCTGCTCCACTCACTGTAGAGCTCGCGGGGCAGCAAGGAGTGGCCCCAGAAACTATCGATCGCCCCGATTGTGTTCTCGACAGGGTCGGTCAGAGGATTGCCGACCATAAACCCTTTTAAATTAATGGGCGCGTCTTTTTCCGGGTGATCGACGATGTACTGGGCAAGCTGGGGGAGGTAATGTCCGGCGTAGCTCTCTCCCGACAGGTGCAGTTCTCGCTCACGCATATGGGGAAATCGCCGCAGAAACGCTTGTATGACTTGAAAATTATCTTCGGCCGCTTGTTTGTCACCAAAGGCGAGGTCTTTGGGGTTGTTTGTGTAGCTGAAGCCGACAGTGACGGGTTGTTCCACAAAGAGCATGTTGGCGACCCGGCTCCAACTGTAGGGGTTGAGATGCAGTGCCTTACCGTCCTGGGTCGGTCGAAACGGCCCCATTTCGGTCATGAATCCAAATAGACCACTGCATCCTGGGCCACCATTAGTCCAGAAAACAAGAGGAGCCTCGTCAGGGCTCTCCTCGGCCTCCACGTACCAGTAGAAGATGTTCTTCTGGGTCCCCTTTAAGTTCAAATAGCCTGCGAACTGCCTGAAAGTGACCTTTTCTGTCAGGCCTGGTAGGTCAAGAACTTCATCAGCAAGGGCTTCCTTGGTATAGGATGCGTTCGATGAGGATGAAACATTTTGAGCTTTGTAAGCGGCCGGCACGGACGAGGCGCGCAAAGACTTGAACATGGGTCCGGAGGCTCCCGACAATTTATTTCCCCTACTTGGTAATGAAACCATCCCAGGGTAACTGGTGCTGCTCGCAGTGATGATACGGCTAGAAAGAAAACGACTTGGGACGTTCCCGAACGTCGGCCGGCCGTGGTGTATGACAACAAGCACCGCTCCAAGAAAGCCTAGCATGCCTGTCATCACGGCTACCAGAGCGGATCGCGAGCCGCCATTGCGGGCACGGCGGCTGTTATTTCGTTGATCTTTTGCTGACGGAGCGCTAATAGACATTGTTTTTTGTTTTCTAAAAAGTGTTTCGTGTGAAGTCGTGCATGAGTGGACGGGCAGCGGTAAGTGATAGTCGTGTTGAGTGATGCGCAGTAACAACTTGACGCAGACAATAAAGCTTGTTCCGCTTACGGGAGAAGTCACCAAAGTAATTCTACCCACCGTTCTTTTCCAAAACCTGATATCTCCATTTAATCTGCCCAGCATGAAAGCAAGGACACGAAATATAAAAATGGGAGACCCATTTAAGAGGGGTATGTGAAACGGTTCAGGACTTCAACGGTTTGGATTTTTGAATTTTGCAGGAGCCCGCCGACATGTTCTGGTCGGGTGCCGACCCTTCCACGTTTGCCTTCTTATAATGTGTGGAAAATAAAAAATAATACTCATTCGCGACCGTTGTGGTGGTCCTCTGCCTCCCGCGCTTCAGTACAACAACACTCAATTCCGTAGTCTTGTGCAGGCGGTGGCGGACAGTGAAGCAGCGGCAAGATAGCCACATCACCATCGAGGTGGCCGTCGCTCTCGCCGAGAACCCCAGTCAAAAGCATGCAGACACTTTCCGTCCCATATTCTTATGAAGACTACTACCAGGCAGGTAGTTGTGTCCATTTCAAAGATGAACTTGAGGAAGTTAGTCCTTTATCGACGCCCTCTATAGAGGTGCGTTTCTTTGTGAGAGCAAGAAGGCCATAACTCTAGTGAGGAAGGAGGACGGGAGGTTTGCCAAATCATCCGATAATCACTCCGTATGCACATATGTTCGTCTACTTTCCAAGTTCACCAGTGTTGGGAGAAAGCGACATGCCGCGGTCTTCTTGATCGGCGCTTTCGTCGTAGCAGGCATATTGCTTGTCGCCGCGCGCAATTTGAAGAGTTCCTCGGCCTATGGCAAAGCGCATCGAATGTCAGGCCACGATGGCTCGCATTTTTCTTCTTCAATGCTGTCGAGGACGCCGTTTACTTTATTGGCTCTCAATTACACCGCTGCAGCGCTGGCTGACGAGATAGTTGCCTTGCCGGGTCTCCCAGAACCGGATTCTTCATTTCGACAGTTCGCAGGTTATTTGGATATCTCTCCCACAAAGCACATTTTCTACTGGTACGTTGAACCAAATAGAAATTCCAGCGTTCTAGATTGGGCTGCGGTGCCGTTGTCATTGTGGACAAACGGGGGTCCCGGGTGCAGTGGTCTGTTTGGATACTTCGCTGAGCATGGCCCGTTCCGAGCCACCCAACACGGAAGCGGCCTGGAAGTTAACCCCTTCTCGTGGAACACACTGAGCCACATGCTGTATGTCGAGATTCCAGTCGGGGTGGGGTTTAGCTACTCGGAGGACGAGACGGAATATTACATTGGGGACGAGCAGACCGCCCGCGACAATTTACTCGTCTTGCAAACATTCTTCGCCCGCTTCCCGCACTTGCGAAGCTCGGATCTCTATCTCACGTCTGAGTCGTACGGCGGGCATTACATTCCTACGCTAGCGCGTGAGATTATTCGCAACAACCGTAAGCGCGCCGACTCGTTGGCAGCCAGCGAGACAGGAGCCGTTGGGAAAACGCGGGGACAGAGCACTCCTCAAGTCGTCCGCCTGGATAGAATTAGTCCCGCGAGTGACGACCAGTACATCAATTTGCGAGGCCTTGCCATCGGGAACCCTTTCACGGACCCGGTCGAAAACGTGGTGGGGATGATCGATGCCCTGGACGGCCACGACGTGATCCCCGAGTCCCTCTTTGAGCGCTGGCTGACAACCTGTAGGGCCCAAGGGGCGGCTGCGGCCGATGTCTTCTATTCGCGCCCGTGCCAGGACCTGCAGAAGGAGATGTGGCGCGAGGTAGGGCAGGGTGTCGACCCGTACGCGTTGGACTGGCCCCTGTGTGCGGATGACCGGAAAAGCAGAGGAGGGAAACAGCGGAAAGCATTGCTGCAGCATCTTTGGCGCTTACACACCTCAGAGACTTTTCGGGCAGACCGCGGCGAGTCATCGTCATCGTCTCTCGCTTCGACCGCACAGGCTGTTCTGAAACAGGCTCCTTGGGGCCAGGACAAAGAGGGGCTACCCTTTCAGCCGTGTGAAGATGATTATCTGAGCGCCTACTTGAACAGGGCAGACGTGAAGCGCATCATTCATGCCAAGGAGCGGATCAACTGGGAGGACTGCGCGAACTGCGTGCGCTACGAGGCCCACGACCAGGATGTTTACATGGAGCCGGTATATCGTTACCTGATGGACGAGAATAAAGACGCCGGACTTCGCGTGTTGCTTTACTCAGGTGACGATGATTCCGTGTGTGGACCACGGGGCACAGAGATGTGGCTGAGGACGATGGGGTGGAAGGTAACAGAGCCGTGGCGGGCATGGACGGTGAAGGAGGAAGTAGCTGGATACATGAAGACTTATGAGAACGGATTGGTGTTCAGCACAGTGCTGGGCGCGGGCCACGAAGTACCCGCATTCACCCCGGAGGCTGCTTGGGAGCTCTTTGGGGCATTCTTGAAAGGCAACATCTCGCACTTGCGCGCCAAGTGAATGGGGGACCCGCATGCAAAGAGGGAGAGTAATGAAGGTTGGCTGCAAAGTGTTCGATGTATTTTAATCGAGGGGAATTTCTGTGCTTAATGATATCAGGGGATTTATACATCCATAGTAATTAACTCGGTCAAGAAATTATATATAACGTTGAGTTCCAAAAAACTTGTTTTGTTCGTTTCGGTTGAAAAAGCCTGTCATCCTCACAAGTCGTGAGCTTCATCTAAGCCTTCTAAAGACGCAAAACCCTCAGGATTGCGATCGGGAAAAGAAATGTACTTCAAACCTCCCATCTAAACTTGTTACACTTTGCTTTCCATGCATACAGAAGATGCCTCCTATCAACGTTCAATTGGCATGCGAAGGAAAAGGAGGACGATGTAACGTAAGAATTATAAAACTGGAGTCATGTGCGCAGATAGCTTCAGGCATCATGCTATGCCTGTCACCATATGACGCGGCAAGTTGCGCACAAAGTGCGCTTTCGACAAAAATAATGTGTTGCATGAATGAGCATGGTATGGGCCGTAAGTAAAAGTTGATTTGGGGGCCTGCTGTGAACTGATGCCTGGGTGAGAGTTGTCAGACGGAGAACATGGTGTCAAAGGACGCGGCGGCCACCGAGTTGTCTCTCTCTGTGCTTTCCATCGACCCGACACACCACGATCTCGACGAGCAAACATCATATTCCCCCAATTGTTTGTCCTCCGACGGTGACGCCCATCGGCCGTGCACCGGTTGTGGTGAAGACCCTGCCGGCTGAATTTCAAGCGGATTTCGGCTCCCGAGGGAGGACGGGGGCTGATCCACGCCCGAGGGAAAGAAGCAGAAAGATTGCGTGTTCTTTGCTTGACCGGAGGCCTCATTTCGGGAGCGCGTCCTGCCACGTAGCTCCCGTGCGTGAAGACCTTGAAAAATTTTGGTCCTCGCGTGGCAGAAGTGCCCGTGTAATATGAAGGACGACCACTGGGTGGCGGAAGGCTTTGCAAGCTTTCTGCCCCTCCTTTGCGTGCTCATTGCCCTCAACTCACTGCCACTGCCACTGCCATGTCAACATGTTGGATTTTGCACGCTACCTCTTCCTTTTTCCGCCCCGTCTTCCAGGAACGTGATGACAACAGAGGATGATACCATCTGGCACTATCTCGTTTGTGCTGAAATGGTCGGGACGGTGCAAGTCTTGTTTGACAATCATGTTCGTGGATGGAATGACACGTCTTCTCCCTACTTGCAGCAAGCGGTTCCGAGGCGTCGGAGCTTTTCCCACCAAGTTGTTACATGACACTGAGACCTTGAACCTTTTATGTCAGTGTGTGCGCGTGCAGACCTTCGTTTTGAAAAAGTTGCCGGCACCGGGTCTCAGCTTTCACACGGCGGGGAAGAGCGGTCCTTTGCGAGCCGCGCTTCAGTGAGCGCCCCACCCTCGAGTATCTCACGCCTCCAATTTACCACGCACAACGCACTCACCTCACTCCTCCCATCCTATCGACTCCTTCCTCTGTGCTACACGACAGGCTGGTCGGCTATCGGGATTTTTGCAGCCTGGTGAGGCGACGCAAGTGAGCTCAACCCGGGGTCCCCAAGCGCCGTGTACGGGCAACGAACACAGAAAGTTTGTCGGCCTCGACTTTTAGCTCCAGTTTCCTTCAAGCTCAAGCGCCACAACCACTGCGTTCGGACCTTTTTCCATCCTATTTCTCTTTGGAAAAACGCTCCACATCATCAGGAAGATGGCAGCAATTGTGCATCCCGCCTCTGACCCCAAGTCGGGTGCCTCCTCTCCGCTCCCCGCTACCTCCCCGCTCCGCCCTGGGAGCGACGTAGCCTCATCTTCTCGGGCCGCCTCCCCGTCTCCCAGGTCGTCCGTGTCCATTCCTCCACCAGGAATGCTGGCAGAGATGAGTTCTCGCCCGCCTCCGCAAGTGGAGCCCATTCGGGGGCCCGGAGTTCTCCCACCGCACTCGCCCAGGACGGCCCTTCCTCCTCATGCGTATGAAGGCGGGCCCATGCCTCACGCCTACGGCCACCCCCTCCCTCCTCCTCCTCCCCACTTCCACCCTGTGCGGTCTCCCTCAGATCCCAGCGCTTATCAGCACCATGCCCCTCATCCGTACTCACACGCCTATGCAGACGCTCCCCCACCGCCCCCCTTTCCATCACCACGCGTTTCCACCAAAATACCTCTCCCCTCACCCCCCGAATGGACTCCCGCTCCCTCCTCCTCCGGGCCTCTCCATGGGAGTTCATTCCCTCCCTCCTCATCACCCCCCGCACCTCCATCCCCCGCATCACAACTACCCGGGGGTCAGCCCCAGCATGCTGCACGAAATGCCGGGGCGGGGCGGCAGCAGCGGCTCAGGGGCAGGGACCGGGGCGCTTCAAGCCACGCTGCTGGCGAAGAAGAGCAAGAAGCCGGAGTTTCTGGTTAAGCTCTTCAAAATGCTGCAGTGCGAGGACCCGACGGTGATCTGCTGGGACAGTGGACGCATCCATGTCCACGACCCCAAGACTCTGGGGAACGAGGTCCTGCACAAGTACTTCCGGCACAGCAAATACAGCTCCTTTCAGCGCCAGCTCAACTATTTTGGCTTCCGGAAGACCCAGGGCAAGGGGAAGATGAGCGCCTGCACCTACACCAACTTCGATTTGGCGAACAGCAGCCTCAAGGGCCTGCTCAAGATAAAGCGGAAGACCAACACCTCCTCTCGGCACGGCGGGGGCGGCATCGAGGATTATCTGGACGGGGAGGAGGACGAGGAGGACGGGCCGGAGGACGGGGAGGGGGAGGACGGGGAGCGTGGGCGAAGGTACGGGTCGCCTCACCGCTTTGGGGGGGCGGGCGCGGCCGGGACCTCGGCGTCCCCCTCTCACGTGTCAGTGCACCCAGGGTCGGTGCCGGCAGAGTTGCTGCGGGCGCAGCCCATGCCTGGAGCAGGGGCGGATGACCGGCTCTTGTTCCTTTACCAGCTGGCGGCGGCGGAGGGGAAAGGGGGAGGGAGGAAGGAGGAGGAGGGGGAGGACGACGAGGAGGAGGAGGAGCCGGAGGTGGAGGAGGAGGAGGAGGAGGAGGAGGAAGAGGAAGGAGGAGGAGAGGAGGACAGGACAAGCAGCAGCGCGGGGCTTGAGTCGGACGAGGACGAGACCAGCCACGGGATGAGGGGGCAACAAGGGGGGCAGGGAGGAAGGAAGCAGTTGGTGGAGGAAGCCGGCGCCGACAGGGAGGGCGGGAGGAGATTAGCGTATATGAAGATGGAAGGGAGAGGGAAGGTGGTAGGAGAAAAACGAGCTCGGGAGGAAGAGGAGGGGGAGGCGCGCCAGCAAGTGAAGAGGGAGGTGGCAGGGGAGACGGAAGGCGAGGCGGAGGAAGAGGAGGAGGGTCCGGCGCGGGGCGAAGGGCGTTCTGGAGTAGGTCTGAAGGCGAGCGACGAGAGGGAGACGCTTGTCGCGTCGTCCTCTTCGTCGTCATGAGTTTTAAGGAGTGCATGGCTGATATATATACATGTACATGCGTGCGACGACTGTACGACTCGAAGAAAAGAGAGCAGCGAGAAGGATTTGACGACGCGAAAGTCCACGAGCGATACGAGGTGAAGACACGCGCGTGGCCCGTCGAGTGTCTGAGGCACTGTCGCGGCAGGGGCAGGGGCTGGAAGCGCGCCGAGGGCCCAAGGCGAGAGGGAGGAGGAGGGAAGGAGGGGATCGGGGTGGGGCCTCGGAGCTCTTCATGGCTGAGGGGCTCCGGAAGGAAGACCATCGTTGTGATGAATCAAGAAGG